CTCCACTGAAACTGTTGCAACACAGAAGCGAGAAAAACACATGGCGTCGCTTGGGTCTTCTTCCTATTTGATTTGCCCTGTGGCCACTCTCTAATTCTGGAAACTTACCTTCCTACTCTAACTTCTGAGGTGCTGTCTCTTGCATTTCTCCCTCTGGTCTTCTTTCTTAACCTGTCTTGCCAGCCCTTTCTCTGCATTTGGTCACTCCAGTACTTTGCTCTCCTGGGGGCCTCATGATTTCTGGTATACACACATTTCATGATTGAAAGAACCTGCGTTTGAGCTTCAGCAACCATATATATGTTTGCTGCTGTCCCCAGACCTTCATGTCTTGACAATGGCGTCAGCAAACGTGCCCTGCAGTTTTGCTGCTGTTTTATCAGCGGAGGTGTTCACTGGTCTGGACTGTTGGAGCAACCCGCCAGCCCCGAAGCTGTCTCCCTCCTCCTGCCATGGCTAGCAGAGATGAAGTAATCATCCACACGGGACACTTCTCTTTCCCTCCACCACACCTTCTCTCTCAAAGTCAGATCTAAATTAATAAACTAAAGTTTATCACTTAAAGCCAAAGTGCATGGAAACTTAATTTAAACCAAACAACTCAAATATTTACTTGGCTTTAAGCTCATAAAGGGCCCATCTCGACAGCATATTCACCTTTATGTAGTACAACTACACTGTCAACACGAATTAATTGTTTTAGAAATTAGGTAAATATAAAGGGTGCACTTTCAAAATGAATTTAAAAACAGACTTTGTAGTTCTCTCTTGATTTTTAAAAAGAGTCTTTGTGCCAACCTTATACCTCTTGTGTATTTCTGTGGTGACATTTATCAAAATTTAGTACAACTTTTCTTTAAAGGATAAAATGGTGGTGGTAATGCTATCTGCCTCATAGTGTTGCTGTGTAGAGTAAGTGAGTGGCACAGAGTCAGTTCTGTATGTGTTTGCTGCTGTTACTGTTACTTCCATTTRTCTTTGGACTCCTTAAAAGAACAGAGAAAATGCTTTTTATTATTTTATGTGACACTAAGTTATAGTCCTTGATATTTAATAAAGACTCAGCAAACACTTTATTATTATTATTTTTTAAATACACGACAGCAGTGGAAAGCATTACAATTCTTATTGCACATATAGGGCATAATTTTTCATATCTTTGTAATAAAGTATGTTCACATCAATTTATGCCTTTATACACATACTTTGTTTTTTTTGCATCACAATTCTTAATATACATATATACCACAATTTTTTTTTATACCACAATTTTTGAATCTCTGTTTGTATATAAAATATGTTGATACCCAATTCAAGTCTTCATACATGTACTTTGTATAATGATGTCTATTACATTCCACCACCCTTGCTAATCCCCTGCCCCCTTCCTTTCCCTCCCACCTATCTTCCCTATCTAGAATTCATCTATTCCTCCCATGCTTCCCCTCCCTACCCCACTATGAGTCAACTTCCTTATATCAAAGAAAACATTCGGCATTTGTTTTTTTGGGATTGACTAACTTCACTTAGCATTATCTTCTCCAACACCATCCATTTACCTGCAAATGCCATGATTTTGTTCTTTTTTATTGCTGAGTAAAATTCCACTGTGTATATATGCCACATTTTTTAATCCATTCATCCACCGAAGGACATCTAGGTTGGCTCCATAGTTTGGCTATTGTGAATTGTACTGCTATAGACATTGATGTGGCTGTGTCCCTGTAGTATGCTGTTTTTAAGTCCTTTAGGAATAGCTGGGTCAAATGGTGGTTCCACTCCCAGATTTCCAAGGAATCCCCATACTGCTTTCCAAATTGGCTGCACCAATTTGCAATCCCATCAGCAATGTATGAATGTACCTTTTTCCCCACATCCTCGCCAACACTTATTGTTGTTTGTCTTCATAATCGCTGCCATTCTGACTGGAGTGAGTTGATATCTTAGAGTAGTTTTGAGTTGCATTTCTCTGATTGCTAGAGATGATTAGTATTTTTTCATATATTTGTTGATTGATTGTATATCCTCTTCTGAGAAGTATCTGTTCAGGTCCTTGGCTCATTTGTTGATTGGGTTATTGTTTTTTCAGTGTTTAGCTTTTTGAGTTCTTTATATACCCTAGAGATTAGTTCAGTAAATATTTGAGTGAATGTTTAATTGTGCTCAAAATTATTTATGTTGTCTGAGAAATCACATCAATAAAAGGAATCAGTCTCTTATTTGTCAACTTCAGGACTATTTTTTTTTAAACTGCAGGCTTATAACAATGGCAAATAAGCCAAATATTTTTAAATATTTAAGGGGAAAATATTTGTGACTATTACAACAGAGGCACAGATGTATTTCTGAGAAGTTGTAAAAATCTGTGCTTTCAAAGCAAATTATATTTTAAGTGTACCAGGAGAGTTAGCTATTCAAAAGAAATCTGTTGAATCTTTTGTGGACTGAAAGCTCCTACAGTAAAGTTAATAATAGCACCTAAATCTATCAGTTTCAGGAATTCACATCGTGTTTTGGGGTTTTCTCATAGTGTAGAACATCTATAGATTTTCTACATAGTATTTGATAGGTGGTGACTTTATATTAGAAAAGGCTAACTCCTACTCTTACCTCATCCTTGCTTCAAAGTTTCTTTATAAAATGTGGTAGTGTTGGAAAGTACCTTGAGTTCCTGTCTGATCTAGGTTTCTTTGAAGTGGGTATGTGTGTTTGCTTGAAAAACCAACTTATATTATTTTAAACGTTCTATTATTGATACATATTAGCATTTGTATAATTCACTGTGAAAGGAGACACATATATTAATTTTAGAAGGTTACCCAGGTAAGCTTATGTTAGGTTAGCTAAAAGTTGTATCTTTCTTATTAATTTTTTTTTAAGATCTAAAATCTTAATCTGTTACTTATTCTATCAACTTCATCCAGGCTGCTAAATATAGCACAATATTATCTAATGTTTATCTTTTTGGATAGGAAAATTTGCAAACATAGTCTTTTGATTCTGAGAGGTTATGGCCTGTCTCCTATATGATTGATTATAAAAGGTTACTGTTTAACCAAACAGATGTCTGTAGTCCAAATAAACAGATATAGCACAATTTATTTATCTGCCTAGTTGGTGTCCAAGGACACAGAAATAGTGAATGTGGAAACTGGATTTCTTCTACTGTTCCTGAGAGCTAAGTTTAGACTTTTGATTATAACATACCCTTACTCTTGAATTTTTAAAGTATGCTTTAGCCTTAATAATTGCTCAAAATGGATATTGGATCATTAATTTGAGACTTTTATTTAAACAAGAATTAATGTTTAATTATCATAAGAGTTGTATGTTTGATTCTTTATTCAAATGATTATAAATAGATAGCCATGCATATGTATTGTGACATTCATGGTGTTGCTAAGCTTTTACTTAGGGCATTAGAGAGATATTATGTTATTACAATTAGATTAATGCAATGCTGACATAGCAGGATATCATGTGAAGGTTCATTTGTAACTTTGTATAATTGAAAAGATACATCCTCATTTTAAAAATGAAAATGTATAGCCAACTTTTGATTTTCATGGAAGTGGTAATGTAATAGGTAATATAAGTAGTGGCACCAGATCTCCTTGATGATATTATTCTAATTTAGTTAACAAATATTTATTGAGTTCTTACAGTAGCGTGCAGACTCTTACTTAGCTCAGGTTCCTATTACTGAGGTCATCTTCTCCAGCCTTTTTTATAGATAGACACAGATGTGTGCCCCTTGAAGAGAACCATGTTATTTCCCTGTCCTGAGATTGGAGACTAGGGAGGTGGGGTGGGAGTGGAATGTAGAGAAGACAGCGAAGAGGCAATACGATGGATTGCACAGTGTCTCCCAATTGCCTGCACTGTCCTGGGTAACCTTAGCCCTGTCCTGGTGTCCACKGGTTCAGAGGGAAGAAAAGAAAATGGAGGGGCTGATGGTGTGGTAGAGGGTGGTTGGCCTCTTTCTTGGTCTTAACCTTTTCTGAGTATTCCTTAGAGTGTATAGCCTAGAGGATGACAACTGATGATCAGTCAGCCCATAGTATTTAAAAACCTAATTTAAAATAATCAACATTTTCAAAAGATCTGGGAGGTGAAGGCAGGAGGATCCAAGTTCAAGGCCAGTCAGTYTTGGCAATGTAGCAAGAGACCCTGTCTCAAAATTAAAAAAAATAAAAAAAGGTCTGGGGATGTTGCTCAGTGGTAGAGTGTCCCTAGGTTCAGTTACCAGTACTGCAAATAAATAAAATAAAACGAAAATAAAAGTTACTATTTCAAAGGCAGATCTCACTTAAAAATAGGTTGGAAGGTTAGCCACACTCAAATTTCCTGCAGGGTGACTAATTAGGTTGAGTGGAGGAGCAGCCACTTTTATTGCTAACCCTTGTTTGGGTTTGCAGCCCCTGCAGGAAACCTTGACTGACCCTGGCTTGTGGTGTACCTCTAGGATTTAATGAGTTTCTGTCCCTCCCTTCTGCCTCCTGCCATTTCATGGTCTTCAAATTAGAATCAACAACAGACATCAGCCCATAAAAATGTGTTCATCATAAACCTGACATTCATATTTTTTTTCATTGTTTAAAGTCCGTTTATCATGTTCATGGAAATGCTTGTATCTCTCATTTTTTTCTTACTTCTTTAATTTATTGCTAGGATAACAATGTTATTTTCATTTCATTTTATTTCAGAGTGACTAGGAGACAAACTTATTTAAAACAAAGTACCACACCTTAAATAAACTAATTTTCCATACAGCCTAAACTGTTCATAGTCTAGATAGAAGAATTCCTCAAGTGAATGAAATTCATAAATAACATTTTGAGAATCAGATGTATGTTTTTAAGTTTTATTACTTTGTTTTCATGTATGTCCAATTGGTCTAATACTAATAGTAGGAAAAGCAGTTTTATTTGTAAGGGTTTCCTAAATTGTATAAGAATTATAAAATATTTTTCTTCTTTTTTCTCACAAAATTCTGCCAGCGAGTTGAAAATGGTGACTTCAACTGGATTGTTCCAGGAAAATTTTTAGCATTTAGTGGACCACATCCTAAAAGCAAAATTGAAAATGGTAGGTTTTTCTTCCTTTTACCCTCCAAACATTTATTTTAATTACTCTTCTTTAATTTTTCAATTTCCTCAGATAACACTTTCTCTTGGTAATATTCTGCAGACTATTCAGGATGTATAAAATTGAATAGCAACCAGTGTGTTGAAGGTTAAACTTCCAGTAGGTGGAGCTATATCCACTCTTTTAAAACAAGCATGTTTTTTTTAGGTTGCCATAAATAGAATGTTTTCTTTATCCAGTCATTAAAGAAGAATTTGAGAAACAAACTGGTTACACCACTAAACAGATTGCTGAATTCTATAAATGTTTTTTAAGATTCATTTGGCTGTAGAGAATCCCCAAGGTATTCTTGGGGAGTGTCATGTTGGGTGATGATGGCGATATTTGTTTAGTGCTTACTGCATGATAGTTTCTAGCATCATCTCAGTTAATATCCAATAACTCTTAGATATAGATTCTGTGATCCACACCTAAGGAGGAAGAAATGGCATCTTCTTGGTGGGGATTTTCCCAGGGTCACCTAGAAGTGTGCAGAACTGGTACTCCAACTCAGAACTGGGCTCCTGAATATCACCACTGTACTGTCTACTTAGTTTCTTTGAGACAAAGAGTACAGATTTTCTGATAGTAATTAAACTACTTATTTACAGCACTGGGCATATGTATTCAGTAAAATGAAAACAAAACAAAACATACCTCTTGAATGCAACATGATTAGCTATGTGAAATTTGCCATTAATACTTGTTTTCTACTTACTCATATTTTTCCATGTCTTAACATCACTTAGGTGATATGTAATGATAGACACCAATGGTTTAAGATTAGTTCATAAGAGAAGTACATAAAATTGAAGAAAAAAATGTTATCCATGAACACAATAACTCCTATTTACTTTCTGGTCATAGGGGTAGAGTGTATCAGTTTTCCTTGGGAACCTAATTTGAAACCTCTTATCTAGATTTACTCTTCTTACATCATCATCATCATCATCATCACCACTTCTGAAATCTAGTTTCATTATTATTCATGTATTTGGATTTGATAGTAGTTTTTGTTTCTACAAAGTATGTTCATCATTTCATATCTGTTACCACCTTGCAGGAAGCCCTGCGTGAATCATGGTTTTCCCCTCACTCTGTGGATAAGTAATCCAGGTTTAGAGTTAAACTAACAGGGATCTCTATAGAGAAGCCAGAATTAGATCTTCTGAGTCATGAATTGGCTAAGGATTTTCATTTGGCTCTGTACATTGATTAATTAGCCTATGTCATGTTGGGTTGTTAGGAATAACACATGGAGTACCTGAGGAAAGTGCTTTATAACAACAGTTGGTTGTTCAAGACAGGGGTGATTAAACCCACTTCTGTGAAAAAGTATTAGATTCAGGCCCAGGAAACCTCAGTAGATGTTCTGTTTGAGTAGTGGCTTTGTTGTTGGGTATTTGGCAAAGTTGAAAGAATTTTGCCATTTGGGATTCATGTGTTTCAGTTTTTCTTACAGAGGAGTTGGGAGGTATAATTTAAAAAGTTCTTTTAAAGTATTTTTATAGAGCTAATACATGCTTATTTTAAAAAGAGTGGAGAAAATGCAGATTGACTAATGAGCATAAAAGTGACCTGTAATTCTACCCACGTTTACTAGTTTTACTAATTGGTAGTTGGAATTACAGTTGCTTTTTAATTTCTTCCATCTGCTTCTCTTAACTTACTTTCTCAGTGTAGATATACATTGTATATGTCTATGCATAAACACATTTATAATTTTTTTACCAAAATAGGATCATAATATAATTATCATCTCATAGCTAGCTTTTTTTCACTTAACAGTCATGGATGTTTTCCATGGCAGTGTATATAGATCTGTGCTATCATTTTGGATGACTGCATTGTCTATTATTCCAGTCTATGACTGGGTCATAATTTTGTTAATTTATTTTATTTTATTTATTTATTTATTTATTTTTTTAAAGAGAGAGTAGAGTGAGAGAGGGGAGAGAGAGAGAGAGAGAGAGAGAGAGAGAGAGAGAGAGAGAGAGAATTTTTTTAATATTTATTTTTTAGTTCTCGGCGGACACAACATCTTTGTTGGTATGTGGTGCTGAGGATCGAACCCGGGCCGCATGCATGCCAGGCGAGCGCGCTACCGCTTGAGCCACATCCCCAGCCCTGTTAATTTATTTTAAATGAGATAAAAGTTGTTTAAAAAACTGTTATGGGGCTGGGGATATAGCTCAGTTGGTAGAGTGCTTGCCTAGCATGCACAAGGCTGTGGGTTCAATCCCCAGCACCCCCCCCAATAAAACAAAACAAAAACAAACAAAAAAACCCCCCAAAACTGCTATGGTTGGTGTACCTATTCTTCCATATTTTATAGTTCTAGTTTCCTCTCTGAATTCTTAGAAATAGAACCACTGAATAAAAGAAGATGTATATTTTATGTAATTTTTTTGGTACTGGGGATTGAGTATAATTCTTAATTTAAAAAATTTTAAAAAAAGTTTTTTTTGGTTCCATATTGTAATATGGGGAAAGAATAATGGATGCCACTTGGTTATATGCCAGGAATGGTGCTAAGCCTCTTGTGCACATCATCTGTTCAGTGACCTACCATCTGTAGCAGGTGATGGTTAGTTTACGGAAGACAAGGAAACTTAGGAGAGTTACATATTGTCCGGGTTCATGCAGCCAATATCAGGCTGTGGGACGACTCAAATATAGGTCTTTTTAATTACAAATTCTGTGCTCTTTTAAATTTTATTACAGAGAATGTACGTGTTTACTATAGAATAGTTTAGCAATACAGATAAAGACTAAAACTCTTAAAACTCTTAAAACTTATGCAAGAAATAGCTATTGTTAAGATATTGCTCTGTATACACCTTTTTTCCATATGTACCTGAGGAAAGTGCTTTATAGCAGTTGTGTCCTCTCATTGAGAAAAAGGTCTGACAGTGTTACTTTAATTTGTTGGTTTTTAAGATGCCTAGAACAATTTCATTTAAAATTGTCTTTGGTAAAATGCTGATATTTTACTGAAATCCCCATTTTAACATCTGGTGTTCATTAGAAGCTTCAACATTTTTTTGGTGAAGGGTTTTAACTTTGTAAACACTTTTGAATTTAAAATAAGTCTGTGTGGGAATTAATAAAATTGATCCGATTACAGTTAGATCTTGGTACATTCCTTAGATTTTTTTTTTCAATTAAAATTTTGAGAAACTCTGTATTTCTGAAGGTCATTTTAGGAGTTTGTTAGTAGAAAAGCTGAGATTTTTGAGGAATTAACAATCAAATAGCTGTTGCTAGGATGTAGCAAAAGGAAGCTCTACGCTCTAGGGAAGGGCCAGAATGCATTTTAGGAGTGTTCAGGGTGTTTGTGTCAACAGAGGGAACTAGCAGGCTCACTCAGCCATCTTGGTTCACATTGTTTTCATAGTGGGGAAAGAAGAACGCTATTTTTTTTTTCTATTTAACAATTTTGAATTGATGAATGATAGCAGGAGAACGAAACAGATATTTTAGATTTCAGATTTACAAAGTCTCTTAAGTGGTAATGTCATTTAAATACACACACACACACACACACACACACACACACACACACACTCAGGGATGGGGAAGTGGTCTAGAGGTGGAATAAGAAGCAGAATCCCAGCAATCTGAAGTATCAGCTCGCTCTTTTAATGAGAGCAGACTGGTGTAAAGACCCTGGGCAGGTTGAAGCGTGGCTCCTTGATCCCTTATTGGCTGTGTGAACTTCAGTGAGATCCACAACTTCTGGAACCATCAGTTTCCTTATACATCACAATGAGTGAAGTTTGATCACATTCAGGGTGTTTGGTGAGGATTGGGAATATTATTTGAATGGTTTGACCATGTCAGGTACACATTATGCTCTTATTAGTGCATTTCCATCTTTAACTCTTTTGTCCCATCATCCTGGATGTAGAATACTAATGAACACTTAAATTGAACCACAAATATACCACTCATGGGGATTATGAAATAATTATTGTTTTCAGAGGTCTATTCTTTTGAGAAAAGTAATGGGTGAATGAGAGAGCATTTGAAAAAAAATTCTATATACATATGAAAATATATAAAAGATATGTAAGCTCTATATTATACTTTCCAACCTGTTTTATGCACCTGTGTGTGGTCAATTTTGTTGAAATATTTGCAGAATTGAACATTTGGGATTTTACTGGTTAATGAACCTCATCAGCATTTTATATTTTCTGATATTACCTTGTTCCTTTTGAAGTTTTTACTTTTAATAATGACTAGGTGGGCTGACTAGTCCACATTTGACTCTGCTCTTCTTAGTTTCACAACTTTAAAATGAGTGGCTGGAAAGAGGTGAATTTTAAAATCATCTTCAGCTCTGAAGTTGTTTCTGTGTTGTGTCAGCACCACTGCTGGGCTGAGCCAGGGCACCACCTAGTGGCCAGATGCAGCCAGGGTTGGATGAACGCTCTAGCTTTCTGGGTGGACTGCAGGACTCCCAGGGAGCATTTCACATTAAGCATCCAAATACGTTGATCACTCACACACCGTTGCTGAGAGGTCATGGGATATCTTCATTATTAGTTGTCTGTAAGTAATTTGAAGCAGTTTTAAGAATGAAACAAAACCAAAACCAAAATCCTGCTCACCAACTCTAGGAAGTACAGCTCCTAATATTCATGTCATGTTCTCTGGTTTGGAGGTCTTACAGATAGAGTCAAGTTGAGTCTTACAAAAAACCAGCTTCAGGACAGATGTTGAAATCTGTCTGCCAGCATCCAAATGCTATCTCTTACAACCTGTGTGTGCATGGACCCAGTTAGCTTTGCAGGCACCAGTAATCTGAGTAATTGTAAGGTTTAGTGTGATAATTCACATGGAACACTCAGCATAGTGCCTGGCACATTATAAGTGCTCAATAAATAATAGGTGTGATTATGATTAGTATTTAAATGTCTGTTGTCATTTTTTATAGTTGTGTTTTGTGTCCATTTCTCAGAAGATATCCATCATTTCTTTTTCATAGTGTGTTTTTGATGTATTAGCTAAACCTTCATTTACTCCTGATAGAAACTCATGTAAGAAAAGAGATTCTTACATCTTGATTGTACAGAGGAAGGGATGGGCATCAAGCCAGGAGGTGCCATCACAGAGGTAAAAGGAATTCCAGGAATAAGACAGGCTCCCATTGGCTTACCATACCTAGGAAAAACTCCCCAGGTGTTTGGAGTCCCTCTACTTCTCATTCCCTGCATGATAGAAAAGCTCTTGTTTCCTCATGCCAACCAGGGTTTTCCCACTTAGTCTCTAAACTTGTTGCTAGGAAATAATTTGAGTAAATAAACCAACTAGGAAAACAGACTTGATTTTCCAAGTAGAAGAGCACGTGTTTTCTCTTCATGTGTGTGTGTACAAGTTGCTGTTTCTACACAGAAGATGTTAAATGATCTCTGTTTCCTCTTTGTTCAATAACAGCATGGCCTATGAGAATCATGCATTTGAGTTAGGATTAGTTAGGCCTGGATTCCAATTCTGCCTCCATTTTTTTGTGACCTTGGCAAAGTCTTCCAATTAGGGAACTTGGTTACAGACAGTAGAGTCAACTATGGTAAATTAAACTAAAAAGGCATTTATCGGTATATGTTGGGTAGCTCACTGACTCCAAGAGAAAGCTGGGAACTAAGTTTAGAAAACGCACAAGATCCTTGGGAGACGGTGTATCTGCCGGGTCCAGGTAGGAAATGGGAACCACACTGGGTACTCCAAACAGAAGGAATTTAACTCCTGGAGTCTGTTACAAAGTAGTCTAAACAATAAAATAGGCAACATTGTAGAATCTAGATATTATGCAAAAGACAGCTAGTACCTTGAAGGTTGGGACTGGGGGGAGAAAGTGGAACTACCAGAGCCTGGGAGCATTGAGGGAGGAGTCAGAAGACTGGAACTCAGACCCGTGGAGGTCATGCTCCACAGTACTGTTTGGACTGGAGACTGAGGAGTAGAGACCAGAAGGCTGGGCTCTGTTCCTGAGGAGAGTGCAGCAGGCTAGTCCTGGGAGTGCCACAGTGGGTTGGGAACTCTGGCTGCTCTCTTCTTTGGTTGCTGATGTGATGCTGATGGGAGAACGGGAAGAAGGCCCTTTCCTGGTTGCCCTTGAGTGCCTCCTATTTTTAGAATCAACAGAAGGCCATCTAGATAGGTCGTCTGGGAAAGACAATATGTGGGCCTGAGCCCCTGCCTCATGGTGCAGGGTATTAAAGGGTTGGCTTGGAGCTGAGAGAAAATGAAAAGGACAAGCACAAGATCCAAGGCAGCAGAAAATACAGCCAAAGAAACAGTGCAGAAGCCATCTGGCTTTGCAGGCTGCTCCTGCTGCTGCCTTGGAGCCCCATTTACAATGAAGTCATTTCACTTAGCTGGTGTGCCATGAGTCAGTGGGCCCTTGATGGGTTACAGGTGTGGGAATCAGTGTGCTGGGGATTAGCCCTCTTAACCCTTAGGGCTGCTAGGCAAGGCCTTCAGTGGCCAAAGCCTTCACTGGTCACCTCGGCTGATTGGCCTTGACTAGGTCTGGTCTGTGACTCAGTTGATTCTGTGGCTCCCAGGAATGCTTACATGGTGGTGAACATTGCCAGGGAGTTTGGAAACTTAGTATCTCAGGTGGCCCCCTCCCCAAACAGAAAATGTTCACCAAAGAGTTCTTCTTTTAGCTTCTTTTTTCAAGGTAAAAATTATTTATATTTTAAACTGACAAAATTTTGTGTATTTGTGAAATGCAATATGATGTTTTAAAATAGTGTACATCAGCTAAGTCAAGTTTAATGTGTACATTGCCGCACATATTTATCATTTTTTTTGTGTGGCGATAACTCTTAAAATCTACCCTTAGTGACTTTAAAGTGTCCAGTACCTTGTTATTAACTATAGACACCATGTTGTACAATAGATCTCTTGGACTTATTCCTCCTGTTTAACTGAATTTTTGTATCCTCAGCTTTTAGTGTCTTAATCTGTTAAATGGGGTTAACCATCCTTTACAGGTTGTTTTTAGAATTAAAAGAGAAATTATATACAACTGTAGCTTGTATGTGGAAGGTGCTTTCTGATCACAGATCTATTCTGTGGAGGATTGTGCTCTATAGATTAAAGCTATACATCTGGCAAAAAAACGTTTTAGCTTGGGCTGGGGATGTGGCTCAAGTGGTAGCGTGCTGGCCTGGCATGCTGCGAGGCACTGGGTTCGATCCTCAGCACCACATAAAAATAAATAAAGCTATTGTGTCCACCTAAAATTAAAAGATAAATATGTTTTAAAAAAGTTTTAGCGGAAGCTGAAATGGATTTGTTAAGTGAAAAATAACGTTTGAGGGGAAATAAAATCACCAAGAATCAACCCATCTCTTTTGTGCACATTTGAGTACTTCAAGAATGCCTTTGCTTTGGGGATGGGAGGAGTACATGTGTTCCCAGGATTGGAATCCTACTAGAGGTTGAGATTTTGAACTTTAATGAGTTGTCTCAATACTTAGAGAGGGTTTTTGTTTTAACCTCCTCTGATGTTTACAGTTACGCAGACGGCTTTTACGAGCTTCTGGAACCTTTTACACTCTCATGAAACATGCTTTCTTCTGTGCTCTATTGAGATTTCTGCACTTTGTTGTTGAGGGTGTGTGTCTGGGTTATGTAAGATGAAGTGCGTGCCTTCTGCTTACGGCTCCTTTCCCCTTTAGGTTACCCTCTTCATGCTCCTGAAGCCTACTTCCCTTATTTCAAAAAGCATAACGTAACTGCAGTTGTGAGGCTGAACAAAAAGATTTATGAGGCGAAGCGCTTCACGGACGCTGGCTTCGAGCACTATGACCTCTTCTTCATAGACGGCAGCACACCCAGCGACAACATCGTGAGAAGGTTCCTGAACATTTGTGAGAACACCGAAGGAGCGATTGCGGTTCACTGCAAAGGTGTGTGCGAGGGCTGCGTAGTCTTGGAGCTCATGGGAGCCGCTGACTGAAAACCAGAAAATAACGTAAAACAATTACCTAATGAGTTAGAAAACAATGGTTTTTAATTTTCGAAAACTGGAACATAAACCCATTTTAATAACCCCTTCCTAAAGAAAGAAAGGATTGTTTGGGCCTGGACAGTTGATGGTGGTGTGGCTTCTTGACAATGAAGGTTTTCTGACCTTAACCTTTCCAAGCCCCAGCTCATCGACACTGTATGTCTCAGGGGGAAATATCAGCAGTGATGTCCTTAGACTGGCAGGAACAGCTTTGACTAGGTCAAATGACCAAGAAGCAAGTGTCATTAGTTCTCCTTTCTCCTTTTCTTTTAGAATTGCTCATCTCTTCTCCATCTTTTTCTACCCATCTGACATTTGGTGTTTCCATTCTTTGATCCAGCTTTCTAGAACCTCCTTTCACCCCTTGTGCCTCCCTTTCCCTGTTTGTCTTTTGCATCATGGAGCTGAGTGTCTTCCTTGCCTCTTGCCAGGGGTAATCACCCTGCTCACTTGCCAATGATGGGGATTGCCTCTTAGAATGAATGGAAAGACATAGTTGTGTAAATGAATCTCTGGTCTCTGGGGTGGATACTTTGGGGGTAGGGATTGTTCAGAGTATAGGAGGCATAGGGTTGTCACATTTAGCAAATAAGAATCCAGGATGCCCAATTTAATTTTAATATTATATAAACAGTGAATTTTTTTTTTAAGTAAAAGTACATCCTAAATATTGCATGGCGTGCATATTGTTTTTTATTTGGCAACCTTATGTCATTTACTTAGAAATATGAATGGCATTTGATTATTTAAGCTTGGTTGTTAGACTCCTAGGAGGTCAACTTCTAGTTTAGAATTTCCAGTCTGGTGGAAGATATTTTACTGGGATCTTTGATTTTAATGATGAGAAATCACGTTGGCCGCCTTGAGATGAGCCTCCAGTTTCTCAAATGCAGCGCTTCATTTTGCCGCTAGGTGGTGCTGTTCTCGTGGTTTTGAGTCTGCAAATAGGTTTGTGTCGCGTTTTATGCTAATTGGCTAGTAGGAGTTGGGGATGGTACTGTTCTTTTCCTGTGCCTAGTGCTGCTGTAACTGCCTTATTCAGACGAGAGTGGCTTTGGTTCTGACAGAAATTAAAATACCATTTTGTAGGCCCTTGTTTCTATGTTTAAGATTTGAGTAGGTGGAGGTACTTCGCTGAATATGTGAGCAGCAACGGGAAGCTGCACTTTACCAGAGACTGGAAGAGATGGAAATGCACGTGGTCCCTGACTTAGATGAGGGCTCCTGAAGCAGGCTTCATCCTCCTGGACTAGCCCTACCTCCGCTGTCCCTATCAACACAGGACCCCTGATTGACAGGAGGTCCCCTCTGCCCGTGCATTGCTGGGAAGGTGTTCCTTGCTCACTCCTTTGTAAGCACTGCTTTCTGGTTATAGTGGATGGCTTGACCTGGGTGTTTTTCACCTACCCGTTAATTTTGCCTTTCCATCCCTTTTTATTAAAGATTGTCCATGTCCAAGAAAATGCCTGCATTTCACATATTTTAAATATCAGCAGAACTTAAGAACTGATAGGAATATAGCTGCAATCAACATTTAGTAGGAGGTATTCATATCTTCTCTTCCAAACTCTCGTTTTTTGGGTGTGTTGATGCACGCCTGTAATCCCAGTGGGTTAGGAGGCCAAGACAGGAGGATTGCAAATTCATAGCCAGCCTCAGCAATTTAGCAAAGGCCGTGTCTCAAAATGAAAAATAAAGAGGGCTGGGGATGTGGCTCAATAGTTGAGTGCTCCAGGGTTCAATCCCTGGTACCAAACAAATGAACAAACAAACAACAAAAAAACCCCAAAACAAAAAACACCAAAGTTTAGTTTTTATATTATTAAAAAAAAATTAGTATTTTTTCTGAGATTAATTTGGCCTTTTTTTTCCTAGTCAGTTTTGTGACTGCTGGGTCATAGAATTTATTTGTGGGTTAACAATCCATATCTTGGATTGACAAATCTGAAAGAGAAGAAATGCAGAACTTTCATTAAAACTCAGCATCTTTCTTTATTGTATTCCTCATCCAAGAAACATGAAAATGAAATTCTCTGGTGTTAAAACATTGTTACAGGTATATTCTCTGTATAACCTTGACCTGTGAATGTTTACTTTTAAGATATATATGTATGATTTTATATATATATATATATATATATATGCAGATATACATGCCATATATATATAATCTACTTACAGCAGAGAGAGAGAGAATTTTAATATTTATTATTTTTTAGTTTTTGTCGGACACAACATCTTTGTTTGTATGTGGTGCTGAGGATCAAATCCTGGCTGCACACATGCCAGGCGAGCGCGCTACCGCTTGAGCCACATCCCCAGCCCTAGCAGAGATTTTTAAATTTTAATGTCTGAATCTTTAGGGGCTAGGGTTGTAGCTCAGTGGTAGAGTGCTTGCCTGGCATGTGTGAGGTGCTGGGTTTGATCCTCAGCACCACATAAAAATAAATAATTAAAATAAAGATATTGAGGGCTGGGGTTGTAGCTCAGTGGCTGAGTGTTTGCCTTGAATGTGGAAGGCACTGGGTTTCATCCTCAGCCCCACATAAAAATAAAAAAATTAAGGTATTGTATCCATCTACAACTAAATATATATATATATATATTGTGTCATCTACAACTAAAAATATTTTTAAAAATGTGAAACTTTTAGCATTGAGGTGAGTTCTTATACAGAAAGTCAAGGTTATACTGGTGACATCTTTTTGAGAGTGTTATTTCATTTACGTCTACTTGTACACACATGAAGAATACTTTCATAAGGATTACATTTTCAGTTTAATTACAACTGTATTGCTTTTAATAGCACACTTATCTACTATAGGCCTGTTAATTATTTTGACATCTGCCCTAATTAAGTCAGTTTAATTTTTGGGGAATTCAAGCAGCACTCAGTATTTTAATTGAACTAAAAGGAAGAAGGGAGAGAGACTCTTATGTCAAATGAACTTTGGTAGCTACTAGAAAGGGAATGAAAATGTTATGCCTCAACATATAAAGCCTTGTATACAGAGACAAACTAGAAACGAATTTGCTGGGAATGTGTGAAACTTTACCGCGACTCAACATCTGCAGTTCACTTTGATGAAAAAGGAATGCTATGAATTCTTCAAATTTTCTAGCACAAATAATCATCGAACATACAGCAACATTGTAATATTCTAGTATGTGATTCTTGATGTTCTATAGGGATTTCAGAAAATGGCTGGAACTATAAAGCAATTGGAGTTTGACTTTGGTATAAATAGAACACTTTCAACCTCTTGTCATGCTGTGCCAGGGAGCCCTTTAATTATGAACGCTTTAAAATTTTTGTTAAAAGTTTTTATAGAAACTTAGTGAAGTGTTCCTATTCTGTTCACTTGTGGTAAGAGCTCCCAACTATTGAGTGCTAAGTAGGTTCTTTTTATAGATCTAAATTATAGACTCTTTTTAAAAGGGGGAAGCAACTTTAGTTTCAGAGAAATTTGAAAATTCTTTGTACCACCTTTTTGATTGTGAGTAGGACTAGGAGCCTAACTGAGGGCATCAGGCAGCTCCTTGCACAAAGCAGGGCACAGTCAGAGAGTGTGTCTCCATGAAGAGGCCACCGCTCTCCAGGCAGAGACCTGGCATGATGACCCTGGCAACTAGTGCTGACCCCCTGCTGCTGCTCCAGGACATTCAGCTGTGTTTTATCTGAGCAGTTGCCCAGTCAATTGTAGTCTTGTCTGCTATCTGGGGAATTATCAGGTATGGGCTCCATCCGGGTGAAGCAGAAGGAAGGGCAAATGACTCTTACCTCTTACTATTAAAGAAAGAGCCCCTGGAGACCATAATTACACTTTAATTTTTTCTGAGGAATGTTGATGTTTGATCTGGGGCAAAAGGCACTTCAGTTGGAAACAGGATGTGTTACACTTCATCTAATAAAACGGTGTATATATCTTTTAATATTTTTTTTTTTTTTTGAAGGAAGGGACTTCCAGACATCTATAGACATGAACTTGGATGTCATTTTATTTTCACTCTTGATGTGTATTCTCGACCCAGGCATTTACAAGGCAAAACTGCTTTTTGGGGTGGGTGAAAAACCTTTTTCTGTATAAAGCACAGATGTATACATAATACATATATAGATATGTAGTGTCCCTGTGTGGTAGTACAATTTTATGGGGAAAGATAAGGAAAAAAACAAAATAAAATGTAAAGAGGCTTCTGGAGGAACAGTACATGTAAAAAAGTCATGAAATGCTGATTTAGAGACACGCTTTTTTCACACCTTAACATTTCTGACATTAGGATGGAGTTTTAAATTGATAGCATGTCGTGGTTTCATGTTTTATTGGTCAAACTTAAACAATGGTGTGTATCGCACAATGAAGATGGTATGGTGTTGTCTAAGATTTGCTGAAACACTGTGAATTTCTCAAACTACTGGGGAAGATTGGAGAAGAGTCTACAGTTTGATCAAGGGAAACAGTCAAAAGGATTCCTCAAAATCAAACAAATAAATAAGCAACCCCCACTCCCTGAAGATTTCTAAACATCAGCAACAGCCATTAACTTTTCCCTATTTCCTTTTTCTAACTAAAGGTTTTCATGGATGAAATCAACATTGTACCAGTTTCCTAGGTCAGAAACATCAGTCATTTTTAACTTTCCTTGTGACCCAATCAGAATTCTGATTCAGCTCTTCGTCCTTATTGCCACATCCCAGCCCCTCTCAAGCACGCTTCTCTTCTGCCCCACCCTTCCAATCTTGTCTCTCTGGCCCCTGTCTCTGTCCCTTCCTGTTCCAGCTGGTCCTTGGCTGCCAGATCCTTTTGCTTTCATCACTTTCTCCACCACCCCCATGTGACATTTTCACTTTGTCCTTTCCACTGGATAGAGAGAAATACAGATTTCTACATGGTAGCAAATTTGCATGTGTATCAGCTGCTAATGTTATCATTTACACTTGGGGCCAGTGTGGTTTCTGATAGGGGTTTAATTTCAGTGTCTATGTGGATGCATTTGCTGCACTTTGTATTTCATCTGTGTTCCTCTCTTACAGCTGGCCTTGGAAGGACAGGGACATTGATAGCCTGTTATGTAATGAAGCACTACAGGTTTACACACGCTGAAATCATCGCTTGGATAAGAATTTGCCGGCCAGGTTCCATTATTGGGCCCCAGCAGCACTTCCTGGAAGAGTAAGTGTACCCCTCTGTGTTTTCATGGTACATCCTTGTTCCTGACCCTTTCTACTTCTTCTTCCCCAGGTTCTGGACAGTGTCAAGCTCACAGTTATAAAACGGCTGCATTGTTAGAGAAGTCTGTGCCTCTAATAGAATATTGTTGATTTGACAGCTGATGCATTCTCACTTTGTACCTTTTATATCTCTTAGATCAGGTGAGAGTGAGAAGAAAATCACAGAGCCATCTCTGCCTACCCCTTTTCTGTCATTTTTCTATGTGTGATCTGGCTACAGTGCAATTTTCTTATGTCATCCCACTTGGCACTTTTCATTCTTCTCTTTTGTTTGCATGTCTAAAAGCAGAATGAAGTAAAAAACACAACTAAGGTCAGTCAGTGATTTCACTAAGTTTGCTGCTCTCCTGACAACTAACTGAACTGCTGATGAGGCCGCACCTTCTGAATACACCCAAGAAGTTACCAAGGAAAGAAAACGGAGAACTGGGTTTTAGCCCTGGCCCCGCTACTTACCAGCTTTATGACCATCATTTAGACGAATGCTTATAAATTTTACGTTTATTCATTCACATATTCATTTGTTAACTTTTGGTGCGACCTCAGCCGACTGGGTAGAAAGATTTAACCTGTAAGGGGACAACCCTTTCTGGACCACCTGGCTTCTCCTTAAAATGCTACAGGTTACCATCAATTTACCCATTAATACAGTGAGTAGATGAAATTAGTGCTAGTTGACCTAGGTCCAGCTGTAAGATGTTATCAGTTAATGACATACTGAAACTGCATTTTTTTTCTTTTATGTTGGGAATGGCATTCTTTTCCATGTAATTATTCCTTTCTGATTTAAATCATTTTAGGTTGGTGAGAAACAAATGATCATGAATTTMATAGAAAGGTGCTGTAAATAAGCTCTTAGTGTCTGAAGTGATTAAGAAGATTTGAGCCTGCTGAGGAATGACTTCAATTGGCAGTACTATAGGGAATAACTTATAAGAAAAAAATAAAATCTTAAAAAATGAGCAGTTATACCTTAGCTTAAGAGCAAGGCAAAAGGGTAATAACTTTTTAAGAAAAAATGTGCAAGAAGACAGAAACTTCAAGGGTTTTACCTGTGGGGTACAAATAAAATAATTCTGTTGTTAAAGTGCTTTGTTCTTGATCGTATTTCTTGGCCAGTGACTTCTTCTATTTCCTCTCTTGTACATTCTGTGCTCCTACAGTGTGGAGCTTTGTAGAATGAATCTTAAAGTGCTCATTCTACTAGTTACTTACCAAAGTTGAATAAATGGCCTTAGGGTTAAAAAACAAAATCCAAAATACTCCTCAGCCTAGTTCTTTGAGCCATTTAACCCATCTTAAAATTATAGGTTGGAAGAAGGTTCATTCAGTCGGTAGAACACTTGCACCAGGCCCCCGCACTGTGCAGCTCACGAGGCAGGGAGATGCAGTGGAGAATGYCCCTGGCCCAGGGTACCTGGTTTTCAGGTGTCAGATAGCACAGCCTGTGAACATCTTCACACCTCCCTATTGTGCCTCTGCTCTGCCACATCACAAGGTGATAGCAGAAGAAATTTGGGTTATAAGACACAGGCTCTCTAGGTTGAAGAAAGGTTTATTCCTTTGTGAGTACATAAGCTGTACAACTCTGGAAGTTTCCTAGGTTCCAAGTATTTGTGAAAACTGAGGTGCAGGAATGATTCTCTTGTCTAACTCCCATATGAAAAAAAGCCATTGCAATCCCTAGGGTAGAGCCTCCTGAAGGCAGACATCTTTTTGTCTTAGGCAATGTATCTTTTATATCTTTTATATTTTGCAATGTTTCTTACAGAACTTGCATGGAAAAGTGCCTGTGGGGCTCATGGGCTCTCCCCCAGGCATTATTAGATCTCTTCCCTCAGGGCTCTGGTCTCTGGCCTACTCTGCTAAATATTTGAGCTTGATTTTTACTCTTTTATTCTTTCCTCCTCTCATAGCTGCCTCCCCCGACGCCTGTGTCTTGAAATACCCCAGGCACTGTTTAGTCTGCGAGTGGCATTCTTCCGTCCAGCAGATGGTAGTTGTGTGCACACCCTGAGTTGGGCAATGCTTTCTCCCAGAAAAGGGAGAGTGAACAAGGCAGCCAGGGTTCTTGCTCTAGGGTGCATGCTTTTCTAATGGAAGGAACATGGAGTAAGCAAAAGTGTATTGTATGCAGGGTGATGGCTGGTGGTAAGTGCTCTGAAGAGGTGACAGAATTGGGGGAGGGGTGGCACACAGGAGTAGAGAGCTCTTGGAAAGCATGGAGGAATGCTGAGACCGAAAGGCAAGAAAGAGCAAGTCCTGTCAAAATCTGAATTGTGTTCCATGCAGGGAGCCTGTGTGGTCCTGAGATGGCAGCAGCAAGCTTAGTGTTTTAAAACTGAGAGAGCAGGTTCATGTGGATGGAATATAATAAGCTGGGTATGTCCAGTGAGTTTTGACAAAGCTGATCAACTGTGGAACCTTTCCAAGATCAAGAAGCAGAACATCACTAGCCTCCAGAGGCACCTCTTGGGTCTTTTTTATTCACTACCCAGTTCTTCCATCAAAAGAACAATTCCTGAGTTTTGCCTGTTTCTGAACCTTCTGTAGGGGGGAACCCCTGCAGTGTGTGTAGACATCTAGCTATTTTTCCTCCATATCATCTTTGCTGCTGTAGGTGGACACAGCTTGTTCATTTTCATTGCTATGATACCTTTAGTATATGACATTTTAGTTCTCTGTTGATGGATATTCAGTCTGTTCCCAGTTGTTGGCTGTTTTGTGTCTTTGGTGTGTGGTCTGGTGGATGTACACCTGTGGGTGGGCCAGTTGGGTGTGTGCATTCAGCTTTAGAAGATAGTAAACAGTTTCCCAAAGTAGTATGCCTGTTTATATTCTCATCAGCAGTGGCTTGTCTGTCTGAAATTTGTAGCCAATGGATTTTGTTACTTGTGGTTATTCACTTGGTCGTATTAATTTGCTTTTCTGTGATAACTAATGAAGTTGAACATGTTTTCATATTTATCGGCCATTCATATTTTCTCTTCTGTGAAGTATCTTTGTAAGTTTCTTGAATATTTTCTGTTAGATTGTCTTTTTCTTGATTTGTAGGGATATTCTGAATACAAATACAGCCCATTATGCTTTAAAGCTAAGCAACTCAGTGAGACCCTGTCTCTCAGTAAAATACAAAATAAGGCTGGGGATGTGGCTCAGTGGTTGGGTGTCCCTGAGTTCAATCCCCAGTATCTCTGCCTCCAATTATTATGAATAAAGCTGCCATGAATATTTTTGTCTGAGTCTATTTATTTCCTTTATTTAAAAAAACAGGGGTGAAATTTCTGGGTCATAAGGCTAGGTACTTTATGAAAAACCACCAATTTTTCCAAAAGGTTGCATTTTATGAACTACTGGTAATGAATGAGGGTTCTAGCTATGCCACATCAGTCTGAACATTTTATTTCATATATATTTTTTCCCTCATTCTGTTTGGTTTGAAATAGTATCTCATTGTGATTTCTTTTTGTGTTTCTCTGATGACTAATGATGTTGAATACTTTTTCATTTTTCATATACATATATTATCTTTTGTGAGGTGTCTGACCAAATGGTCTTGCCCATTTAAAAATATTTTCTTTTAAAATCATTGCTTTGTAGTATATATGTATAGATAAATGTTTTATTTATCTACTGCATATATACTTCATATATTTTGCATACAAGCTTTCATCAGGTACATGTACTCTAGACAGAGTGAGCAGAATCTTAAAATTTTGCTGAAATTGAGTTTTGAAAATTGACCTTACATCTTACAAACCTCGCTAATTTCACTTATTAGTTCTAGTAGTTCTCTTCTTTTTTCCTTATTGCTCTGGCTCCTTTGGAAGTGATGGCAAAAGTAGACATCTGTATTTTGTTCCTAATATAAGAGAAAATATATCATTAAATATGATGTTGGCCATGGAATTTTAAAGACAACTTTTATCTGAATGAGGAAACTTCTATCTAGTTAGTTTTGAGTTTTTAATCTAAAAATGGTAGTAAACTTTGTCAGTTTTCCTGTATTTATTTAGATAATCATGCAATTTTTCTCTTTTTGATGATGAATTACACTGATTTTCAAATGTTGAGCCATAATAGTCATGATTTTTTTAAAAAATAAGACTGGATTTGATATGCTAATGTTTGTTGAGGATCTCTGTGTCTATGTTCATAAGTGATTTGATGTATACTTTTCTTGTACAGGTTGAGTATTCCTTGTCTGAAATGCTTGAGACCTAAGGTATTTCAAATATTGGAGTTTTTGGCTTTAGGAATATCTGCAGAGACTTTATCAGTTGAACATCCCTCATCTGACATTCTGAAATCTGAACTATCCAAAATTCAAAACTTTGTTAGTTCTCAAAAAGTTTCAGGTTTGTGGACATTTTGATTTTGAATTTTTGAATTGGGGATGCTCAATCTATAAATCTTTGTTAAGTTTTGTTGACAAGGTTGTGCTGACCTCATAAGATCTGTGTTCTGAAAAGAAGGTGTTATAAGATGCTATTGTGAGAATTTAAGAGTGAGATGGGAAACAAGGGGATGAAAAGTGTTGTGGAGATAGAGTTCGAGTTGGTATCAGACAACCTGGAAGAGCTGGTTGTATGGTGTGACAGTGGTAAACCAGGATGTGAGCCATGATGAGCTTGGGTCTGAAAGTCTCTCAGAGCCAGGCAGGTCATTTTCATGGAAGCTGAAGAATTTGGGTCAGTCCAGCAACTTTTGGGATAGGGTGGCTAAGGGGATGAGCAAGTCTCCTCTGTTTTGTCTTATTTTGCATGTGGTACTGGGTATTGAACCTAGGGCCTTGTGCTTACTAGGTAAGTACTTTACCCTGAGATGCATCCCCAGCCCCTCAAATCTCCTCTGATGCCATGTATTTTGGGAGTTGGGTTAGGGAGTGGAGTGTGAGGTATCCAGGTAATCTCAGCTCTACTGCAGGGTAGTACTGGGCCC